TTTTTTTACAAAAGAAGGCTGTGCAAAAATGGTCTCCAGGCTTGTAATCGAACCTTCTGGTAATATGAACTGATAACATACTGCTCGTCAGGGTGGCGTTGGCTTCACTCCTTGGGTCCTAGAGTTGTAGCCGTCGAGGACTTCTTTTCTTACGGAGCAACGGCAGCCACTTTGTTTAATGTGATTAACATGCCACAGGGAGCTCCCATCTAGCGTCTACGACCTGATGTACGAGGTTTCGGATGAGATGGACATTCGGAGATTTCCAAGGCAGAAGGTCCGATAAACACGTGGTCATGCCGATGGCAGCCCGGGGGTGGGCCTGTGAGGACCCCCCGGCAGCGCGGTCTGGCGTGAAGGCGCCTGCTGCCCCCGAGCCGGCAGCGAGTCGGACAGGCAGGCCCTGCTGTGCTCATCCGTCAGCCGTCCCCCTGGTACTTGCCGGCTCTCACTGCCCTGGCGTGTCCTCCCTCCAAGACCACTGAGACCCATGGAGATAAAGATATGAACAGTTTTCATCGTTAATGCTACGGACAGTTGACTGTGTTTTGTTTTTCTTGCTCTTTTCTTCATTGGGCACCCAGCCTCTCAGCCCCCTGAGACTCTCCACCCACCTGTAGACTGTGTTTCCTGAACGCCTCCGCCCCTGGCACAAAACTGAAAGACAAGCAGCTTTTCACAGAGTGACACGGAAAAGGAAACAGAATTTGATGCTTCAAATGAAACCTGGAACATCCCATTCTTTGATTAGCAAAGCACATAGAAGCTACTTTGATCCAGCCTCATCATAAGAATAATCAACAGCCCGACCGGCGTGCCTCAGTGGTTGAGTGTCGACCTACAAACCATGAGGTCATGGTTCGATTCCCGGTCAGGGCACAGGCCCGGGTTGCGGGCTCGATCCCGTGTGGGGTGTGCAGGAGGCAGCCGGTCCATGATGCTCTCTCATCACTGGTGTTTCTATCTCTCTCTCCTTCTACCTTCTTCTCTGAAATCAATGAAAATATATTTTTAAAAAACACACGGAAGCCATGGGAGATTTCACCCCGAAAATCCGCTGTCCAGCCCCTCCTGGGACCCGGCCACGCTGGGCCCCCATGTTGCATGGCAGGGAGGGGCCGGGCGGCACTGGCTGCCCCCTGGACACCCTGCCCCCCAGTCCTCACTTACTCATTTCCTCAGACCAAACCGATGCAGTCCCAGGACTACTTGTCATGCTGTCGATCATCACCTGGATGTCTGTGCAGTGGTTGCCTTTTGGGGGCGGGGGCGGGGGGGCTGTTCTCCCGTGGCCTCCAGGGGGGAACCTGAGGCAGGAGGCAGGAAGTGGCGCTCGGGTCCCTGATGCTGGTCTCCTCTCCGCAGGTACAACGGCTTGGTGACGGGCGCCAGGGCCAAGGGCATCATCGCCATCTGCTGGGTGCTGTCCTTCGTCATCGGCCTGACGCCCATGCTGGGCTGGAACAGCTGCGGCCAGCCCAGGTCCAAGGAGGACGGGAACCACTCGAAGGACTGCAGGGAGGGCCTGGTGGCCTGCCTCTTCGAGGAAGTGGTGCCCATGAACTACATGGTCTACTACAACTTCTTCGCCTGCGTCCTGGTGCCCCTGCTGCTCATGCTGGGCATCTACCTGCGCATCTTCCTGGCGGCGCGGCGGCAGCTGAAGCAGATGGAGAGCCAGCCGCTGCCGGGCGAACGCACGCGGTCCACGCTGCAGAAGGAGGTGCACGCCGCCAAGTCGCTGGCCATCATCGTGGGGCTCTTCGCCCTGTGCTGGCTGCCCCTGCACATCATCAACTGCTTCACCTTCTTCTGCCCCGGGTGCGGGCACGCCCCGAACTGGCTCATGTACCTGGCCATCATCCTCTCCCACTCCAACTCCGGGGTGAACCCCTTCATCTACGCCTACCGCATCCGCGAGTTTTTCCAGACCTTCCGCAAGATCATCCGCAGCCACATCCTGCGGCGGCGGGAGCCCTTCAAGGCGGGCGGCCCCAGCGCCCGGGCCGGGGCGGCTCAGGGCAGTGACGGGGAGCAGATCAGCCTGCGCCTCAACGGCCACCCCCCTGGGGTGCTGGCCAACGGCAGCGCCCCCCACCCGGAGCGGCGGCCCAACAGCTTCGCTCTGGGGCTGGTGAGTGGACGGGGAGCCTGCGGGTTCCCTGGGGACACGGGCCTCCCCGACGTGGAGCTCCTCCGCCACGAGCTCGGGGGGCCGTGCCCGGACTCCCCCGGCCTCGAGGGCCCCCTGGCCCCGGACGGAGCAGGCGTGTCCTGAGGAGCCACTGCGCTTGCCCCTTCCCCGGGAAGGGGCTGTTGCTCTTCCCGGTGGGGGAGTGTGACTGCGCCCAGACCTTCCCTCCCCGGGCTGGTTCCCGTGTGGCCCGGAGGGAGCCCGGCTGGCGCAGCCCGCGGCGGGTTTGGAGTCCGAGAGCGGGCGTGTCATGCGGGGAGACCCTGTGCGGGCCAGGAGCGCAGCACCGGAGCGTCTTGGGTCCGGTCCCCACTCCGGAAGCATCTAGAAGGGCCACCTCGTCTCTGCAGAGCAGGCCACTGGCCCGGAGGCTGGAGCGTGGCTCCGAGGGGCCCTGCCTGCTCCCCCCCCGCCCCCGGACTCTCCGAGGGTTTGGGAGCTGCTGTGCTTGGCAGTGGTGTTTGACTCTGTTTTCCAGGAGGAAATTTTAAGCGTGAAGATACCCTGTCTATTTCATTATTGTCCCTCCCTGTCGTCAGTCCTGCTGCTCACCTGGTCGGCCCCGGGGAGCCCCGGGCAGCCCTCTCCCCCGCCCCCCCCGCCCCGATGGCCCAGAGCCATCTCCTGGGGTGACGAAGCTGGGCCCAGGACGAGGACGGGGCGTCGAGATGGAGCCGGCAGGGGCTGGGGGAGGTCCGGGCTGGCCTGCGTGGGGAGCGGGGAGGCTCCGCCGGCCCAGTGGAGGCCCGCACTGCCTTTCCCTCCGAAGGGAATGTCTTTTTCTGAGATAAAATAAACGTTGAGCCAGTTGTGTTTTAAGCCTGTCCGACCAGAATGGCGTCTGAGTTCCTCTCCCGTCCCACGGTGGCCTGGCGCACACGTACAGGCGTGTGCCGTGTGTGTGCGAGACTGTGTGCATGTGTGTAGACAGACAGACACCTGCCTGCCCGGGGGCCTCCCAGGCTCTCAGCCTCTGAGGGACAGATGGCCTGGTCGCACCAGAGTTCAGATGCCCAAGTGCAGCCCCGAGACCGGGGTCCCTGTTGGGGGGCAGTCCCTGGGGGGGGGGCCGTGGAAGGAGGGGCTTTACCCCAGCTGCTCCCCCTCCACACACAGCTGACCCCTCCCTCCGCGTGGGGACCGGGCTCCTCCCTCCCTCGTCACCTTCCTAAAGTCCTTCAAAGAAGATCTCTTTGTTTTTTAAATGTGTTTTTATTGATTTCAGAGAGGAAGGGAGAGGGAGAGGGAGAGAGAAACATCCATGATGAGAGAGAATCCTGGACCGGCTGCCTCCCGCACGCCCCTCACTGGGGATGGAGCCCACAACCCCGGCATGTGCCCTTGACCGGAATCGTACCCGGGACCCTTCAGTCCGCAGGCCGACGCTCTATCCACTGAGCCACACCAGCCAGGGCCAACGAAGCTCTTTGTGTTACTTCTCAGAGCTATCCCCACCCTCCCACTGCCCCCTCCGCCCCTCAGCTGAGAGGCAGCCAGAGATGGGGAAGAGATGGGCCGGGCTACACCACCTTCCTGGGGTCACCCCTCCCCCTACTCCCAGCAGGAAACCCGTAGGAGCAGGTGTTTCCTGCGCTCGCTCCGCCTGCCTGCCCGGGGCTCCTGGCCTAAGGAGGGAGGCCGTCCTTCCCTGCTCCCCCTGTGGGCTGGGCACACGGAGGCAGGGAAGGCCAGGGCGGGAGTGTCGGGGCGTCCCGGGCACCTCACGCAGCGTCCTTTATGGATGGCTGATCAGGGAGCCTACGCCGCCCCGCCCCTCGGAACAGAGGGTCAGCCCTTGCCCAGGTCTAGTAAGGGGCAGGAGGGAACTTAAACCAGCGGTTCTCAACCTGTGGGTCGAGACCCTTCAGGGGTCGAACGACCCTTTCACAGGGGTCACCTAAGACCATCGGAAAACACATCTATAATTCCATATTGTTTTTGTGATTAATCACTATGCTTTCATTATGTTCAATTTGGAACAATGAAAATACATCCTGCATATCAGATATTTACATGACGATTCATAACAGTAGCAACATTACAGTTATGAAGTAGCCACGGAAATAATTTTAGGGTTGGGGGTCACCACAACATGAGGAACTGTATTAAAGGGTCGCGGCGTGAGGAAGGTTGAGAACCACTGACTTAAACCCTGGCCGTGGCTCAGTGGTTAGAGCGTCCGCCTGTGGACCAGGGGGTCTCAGGTTTGATTCCCGGTCAAAGGCATGTACCTGGGTTGCAGGTTCCCCAGTCCCTGTAGGGGCGCTTTCGGGAGGCAGCCAATCGGTGTGTTTCTCTCTCATTGACGTTTCTCTCTCCCCCTCCTCCCTCCCTTCCACTCTTTCTGGAAATCAATGGACAGTACCCCGGCCGGCGTGGCTCAGTGGTTGAGCGTCGACCTATGAACCAGGAGGTCACGGTCAGGGCACAGGCCCGGGTTGCGGGATCGATCCCCAGTGTGAGGCGTGCAGGAGGCAGCCGATCCATGATTCTCTCTCATCACTGATGTTTCTCTCTCTCTCCCACTCTCCCTCTCTGAAATCAATAAAAACATATTTTTAAAAACCAATGGAAAATGAAAAAATAAACACCCAGGTCTGACTGCAGTCATACTCCCCCTCCCTAACTGCTTTCAGCCAGGTTGTCAAGTATAAAATAGCAGCATGTCCCGCCCCGCCCCCCCTCCGCTTATGGACGGGACGTGTAGCTACAGTGGGAGCACCTGGCCCCGCCCTGGACCGCGGCCTGGCGCCCGCACTGGCCACCCGCGCGCGCTTGGGTTTCCTTTCGTTCGCGCCTGGCCTGGCGCTGTGACTCCCGGTGCACACGCAGGTGGCCCAGCCTGCACGGCAGGTTCGGCTCTAAGTTCCTGCTGCACCGTGAGAGGCCCCCAGGCAGCTCCACGGACACAGCGCCTTCCCGAGACCCCGGGGGGCCCAGCAGCAGCGACACCCCCCCCATCTCCCCGGAGCCTCATGCTCAGCCTGACTGCGAACCCCAGGTCTGCACCAGCCGCCCCCCCTCCCGGCCAGGCCGGCTTCCTCCTCCGCCCCACACCCGGGCGGCGGTGCTGGCTGTGGGCTGAGGGCGGGGCCGTGGCCTGGGTTGACCCCGAGGAGGCCGAGAGCCCGGATGCTGCGGGTCCTCAGGAGCAGCTGGTGGAGAGGCCAGAGGAGCCGCAAAGGTAGGGAGGAAGCGCGTCTCTCCGGCCTTTTCTGGGGCTTCCTGGGAGCCGAGCTTGGGGAGCCGAGCTTGGGGAGCCAAGCTTGGGGGGAGACTTTGAGGTTTGGGGAAGGACCGGGCCGGGGGCTCAGGAACGGCTTCCAGGCACGACTGAGCCCCCGTCCCGCAGGCTCCCACGGCGAGCCGGTCTCGGGTGCAGGCGCACGTGCAGACACCAGCAGGTGCACGCGCCGCTCCCTGGCCGTCAGAGGACACAGGTGTGTGCACTCGAGTGTATGAGGGCAGCTACCCCGACGGGCAGGTGCCCGCAGCAGCAAGGGAACCGGAGCCGGCGGCCGGGGGCGGGGGTGCAGGCACCCGGGTGCTCCGAGGGCTGCAGCTCTGCCCAGGGCCCCCTGTCCTCTCCCTGCCTTTCCCAGGCTTCATGCAGGCAGGTCCTCAGCTCAGGTCCCACCGCAGACCTGTCCTGGGGATGGCCGCAGCCCCTCTCCATGGCAGCGAGGTCAGAGGCCCCCCTCCCGCCCGCCCCCCGGGCGCCTGGGGGTGAAGGCCTGGCTCAGGCTGGGTCCTGGCTCAGGACTGGCTCCGAGGGACAGGCCCGTGGAAGGCTCCCCTCCCCTCCTCTCTCCCCTCCATCTTGAATCCCTGCCTCTGCGGCTCCGACTCTCCCCATGGGGTTTCCGTCTTCTCCTCTGGGAGGCCTCCCAGAAAGTGCTCGAGGCTCCGGGGCACCGAGGGGCAGCGCCTGGGCCCAGCCGGGTGCGGGCGGCCTGAGTCAGAGGGAATGGATGCTGGTGCCCTGGACCCACGCTGGGAGCTGGCTCTGCCTCCTGCTCACTGGTGTGGTCAGCCGGAAGCGCAGGCTCCCAGGTCGGCTGTGGAAGGCCTGCCCGCCTGGCATCTGTGCCTAGAACCCGTGCCCTCCGGCATGCCGCACCGTCCCCTGGCAGGCAGCTCCCGGGTCTCACTGTAGTGGGCACTCCCTCCCTGAGCCCCGGGCTGGGCCAGTGCTGCCTGAGCGGGCTGGGTGGGCCCCCTCCGTGATGGGCGGGTTAGGTGGGTGGGGGTGGGTGGGGGGTGGGGGTGGGGGGTGGGGAGGAAGATGCTGTGGGGCCCTCATCTACCCCCCAAAGTGGACCGTGTCAGGTTACCCCTCTCCCTCCGCCCCACAGCTGCCCCCTGTCCTGAGGCACCCCTCACGGCACCTGTCACTCATCATTAGCAGCCCCCTATTGGCTGCCCGCTGGGCAGGGGCGGGAGGGCATCAGAGTCACAGCCCCAAGAAGAGGGATGAGCACAGGCACCTCCCGCTCTGCCTGGCCCTTCCCTTCACTGGAGGAGAGGCAGCTGGGGAGGCTGAGCAGGGGACAGGCCAGGCTGAGGCCAGAGCTGGGATGGGGGGCACCCACCCCATGGGCTTTCGGGAAAGTGCAGTGGGAAAGGCTTTGCGTGGAACCACCTCATTTCTTGCCCTTGCCCGGGAGAGACAGAGGGAGAGAGAGGGAGAATAGAGATCAAGGCCTCCTGGGGAAGGGGTCAGGCTGCTCAGGTCCCTGGCGGGGGGACCCCGAGGAGCTGGCAGACTCAGTCATCTGGACCTGCATCTAAAGACCAGGACGCTGTCAGGGCGGCTCCTTAGGACACAACAGGCTGGACCCTGAGCCCCATCTGCGACTCTGTTCCTCTCAACGGCTCCATCAGCACCTGCTTTTGAATACTGAGGGGGGGGCATGGGGGAGCCAGCCACCAACCCAGGGGAGTAAGCCAGAGGCGCCTGCCCTGGCCCAGGAGGGATGGCCACGGCCGCCCAGGCTTGGGGGGGGGGGGACCAGGTCCCACCCAGCGGGGGCATCAGGCAGGTGAAGTCAGTGAACTCCGACTCCGGGCGCCTCTCTAAGGAGTTTGCTGGGAGCCTGGCTGCCATCTGCCCACACGGAATTATGCCCCCGTTTACAGCAATTTTCAAGTTAAAGTGTTGTCAGAGGCTGTCACGGTTTGATCCGTCTTTTCTGTTCATCCGCCCACATTTTCTCGTTGGGTTGGGAGGGGAGTGAGGGGGAAAGAGCCTGGGTTGGATTCAGAGTTTGGGGAGCGGTTTCCGTTATAGGGGAATGTGAACGCGATCGAGTTTTCTGTTGGGAAAATCCAGGCCCCGCGCCCAGTGTCAGCGCTGCTGTGAGCTCAGAACACTCCGAGGCCGAGGCCGGGCCCGGCGTCCTGCCGCCGCCCGACTCTCCGACTCTCCGGGGAGGTCAGCTTGACTCTCCCTGTGCCGGGGTGCACAGCGCCCCTCCACTCGCTC